GATGAGGGGGTGAAAAGCACCTTGTTCAAATTCGCAGATGACACTAAGATGTGGAGAGAGGTGGGCACACTAGAAGGGAGGGACAGGCTACAATCAGTTCTGGACAGGTTACAGGGGTGGGCAGATGAGAATAAGATGGGATTCAATACTGACAAGTGCAAGGTACTGCACCTATGGAGAAAGAACCAGCAGCATGCCTACCGGCCGGGGAACTCCCTTCTCATCAGTGCAAAGGCAGAAAAGAATCTTGGAGTCATTATAGACTCCAAGATGAACATGGGCAGCCAATGTGAGAACGCAGTCAGGAAGGCTAATCGCACCTTGTCATGCATCCACAGATGCATCACAAGCAGGTCCAAGGAGGTTAACCTCCCCCTCTATGCGACACTGGTCAGACTGCAGTTGGAGTACTGTGTCCAATTCTGGGCGCTGCACTTCAGGAGGGATGTGGACAGCATCGAGAGGGTCCAGAGGAGGACCACTCGCATGATCGGGGGCAGCAGGGCAGGCCCTACGAGGAGAGGGTACAAGACTTGAACCTATTCAGCCTCCACAAGAGAAGGCTAAGGGGGGATCTGGTGACTGTCTATAAACTGGCCAAGGGAGACCAGCAGGCAATGGGAGAGTCCCTATTCCCCCCCAAGCACTACCAAGGAATAACAGCCATAAGTTGACTGAGTGTAGATTCAGGCTAGACATCAGGAGGCACTACTTCACAGTCAGGGCGGCTAGGATCTGGACCCAACTTCCAAAGCAGGTGGTGTTCGCTCCTGCCCTGGGGGTCTTCAAAAGGAGGCTAGATAGACACTGTGCCAGGGTCGTTTGACCCCAGCATCCTTGCCTGCCCATGGCAGGGGGTCAGACTTGATGATCTGCTCAGGTCCCTTCCAACCCTACCAACTATGAAATTATGAAAGTGGTTTATGCACACTAAACCTCTGTTGTGTTGAAGACTTAAATCAGTTTCCAATCACTTGTTCTGGTTTATGTGTAATTTCTGTCCCGGGCCTTTGTGTCACCCAAAATATCAGTTATGTTCAGTGGTGAGGAGAGGTCAGATTTCATGAACAAGAACAAAAGAAAGCAACTAGACAACCATTAAAGCAAACTCTACAGCATAAGCAAACAGCAGTAACACAAATACAGGGAAGATATACACCAGCTGCTGCTTTATCGCTCTATTTTTAAAGGGGTTGCTTTCAATGTTTTCAACGTAGAGAAACACTGCTCAAAAAAGTGATGCAAGACTCTTAAGAGCAAGCAATAATTTTTAAAGGAATAAATAATAGGGCAGACCAAAGGAAAACATAACTTACCATCAAAATTAGAATGAAAGAATCTCTGACCCCCTCCTGCACATGCACATAAAGACATGATTTGATCTAATCTGTGATCCACATAAATGCACTTCTTGTCAAGCCACATATGACATGTGGCTTGACATGTGACATGACAGGAGGCGCAACTGTGAGATCCATGCATTAAATCCCACCGCACCTTATTGCCAGTGTAGGGTGAGCCCAATCCCGGGATCCTCCTGCATTGGCAAGAAGCAGACTCCCATGACTGGAAGTCCCTTTTGCTGGGGTGGCTCTCAGCCCTGGGGACCACATACGGCCAGGATCAAGTGTCCTGCACCTTCCCATCAGGCAGCTGTGACTAAGAGCCCATCAGCTGCAGAACTCTCATCCCCTGAGGCTGTGGGGCATTCCTGTGATCTTCCAGCTGCAGGGGCATGTGGAGCAGCCCACAGCTGGAAGATTACAGCAGCTGCAATAACCCAGCTGCTGCCTGGATCACCCCTGCACCCCTACAGCTAGGAGACTGCATTGGCTATAATCTTCCAGCCTCAGAGTATGCCACAGACTGCATACATATGCAAATTAAAGCTGGATAGAAACCACCTATAAAGTTATTAAACATTTTTGAGCAATAACTTTATAGCTGGTTGGACCCATTTAAGGCATGATATTTAATTTGCACATGTAGCCAGTCTAAACTTATTGCGCAATTCACAAGGTAATTGCACAAAACATTTAACTTGTGGAGGGGGCCTCTCAAACCAGTGCTGGGGTTACAGCAGATAATCCATGCAGAAGAGCTCTTATATGCTAGGAAAGAGCTAACTGACAAATGTCTAAAAAATCCTGAGGAAGTGCCAGATGGAACAGAACATGGCAGGGCATTTGTGCTCCTGCCAACTTCTCAAAACCCTAAAAATTAAAAATTAATGGAGCATCTACCTTGTTTTGTACTAGAAAGCTGAGTCACAAAAGTAAAAAGCCTATGCACCTGGTATCTTTAAATAATCATATTTGAAAATAAGTATTTATTAAAAAGGTAAAGAACAATAAAAACATCTTAAAAATCAGCCAAGGGAAAAAAGGCTCACTCCCTGACCTACCATCCTGTCATTCATTCATTCATGAATTGCCACACCATGATGGATGACAACAGAAGTTGGCTTTTCAGGCTTTCAAAAATAATTCCATAACACTGTAAATGTCAGACTAAGTAATACTGAAAAAAATTTAGACCAATGACTCATGCAGCATCTACATATCACACATGCTAAGCACAACAAGATATATTGAATGTCTCCTTCTATAATACAGTAATTGAGTGCTAAATGAAAAGGTTGGTTCTATTACTAAATAATGTTTCACTAAAACAAAATATGAGCTTAGTATTTTAATTCATGTTTCATTTCAGTTGTTTATACAACAATTTGTAAACTTGTTCAAACTTCCTAAATACAAATATAAAATTTCATCTTTGACTCAGACTGTTCTGGTATTTTCATTTTTGTCATAATAAAGATTTGGGAATATGCATGCATGTATGTTCAATAAAAATATATGAAATTAGTTCCTGTAAAATTTAAGACATCATCAGGATAAATATTCCTTTAAAACAAATACATGTTTTCTAAAATTCTTCATATTCATATTAATTTAATGTTTCTATAGTATACCACAGCAGCAGTACAGAACATTAGTGTTTGATACACCCTAACAAGTAACCTAAAAATATCACCTCAAATTGAAGCACATTTTAAAACATAATTTATATCACTGTCCAAAAAACAAGAAAAAATGATATTTGATTCTTGTTTTCAACAGTTACATATTTTTAAAAAAGCAATTTTGAAGGTTAATAGCCACCTATAATTCCTCAACACAAACCAAGTCTTTTAAAAACATTTCTAAGGTCCTTGTATGTCTTCTATTTCAGTTGAATTTCCCTTTTTATAGATGATCGGTTGGTTCTATGTTGTACTTTTCAATTTACTGTATTTTCTGCACACCATAACGCTCCCCCCCCACCCAATAAGTCTCACACCTTGTTTTTAAAAAGGCAGAAGAGAGAAACATTTTTCCAGATTTATGGCCACATAGTGCAGAGATAAAGCCTAATCTTCAGCTCACTCACCCTCTCTTTTATGCTCAGACAAAAACTAGTTTAAATCCTTTCACAGCTGAACTGTCAGCACCTCTTGAGTGCTCAGCCAGAAGCTGGAACTGTAGCTCTGGCTGAAGACTGAATGCTATGATCTAGAATTTTGAAGAGCTCAAAAATTATGAAATAGAAGAGAAGACCAGTAGCTAACAGATTGCAAAATTGTCAAAGAAATTATAGCTTGATTAGCAGAATATGAAGACCATTAAAAAGAAAAGAGAGCTGTTAACACCTGTGGAGTGAAGAGCAATTAGCAGGAATCAGGAAGATTATAATGAACCACAAAAATCAATTAACTCCCTTAGAGCTGCCTGAATAGACATGCTATTGATGCTGCTGGGCACTTGGTTTGAAACTTTGGGTGGAACAATCACCCCACTGCACCTCCCCTGGAACTGCCCCTTCTGGATTCCACCCCTCCATATAGCTGCTGAAGGGGAGAAAAGAAAAAAAAAACAGCCATCTTACAGCATCACCATGCTTCTAAAATGCGCAAAAAAAAAAATCCATGTCCCTATTTAAGACATGAACTCCAATTCTGGAAAGGTAATTTTTGGGAAGAAGGTGCATTTGGCATTAGAGTAAATATGTAGTTATCAAAGATGCACTGAGAAAATTCAAATGAAGACTTAATACTTTATAAGTTGGCTTCTGTATGTTTAATTGTAATGTTTACTTTTCAAACCAAGGTCATACTATCATTTTGTCAATCAGCCAATTTTTCTAGTCACGACTAGAAAATACCTAGAGCAGGGTTGTCCACATTTAGCACATTTGGGAGCTGCACATTGTGTGGGGACAGATCTCCCAGGATACCCTCAACTGCATGGGCTGCACTGGCAGCAAATAGCCCCCTTTTACCCTCTGTTGACAGCATGCAGCCTGGCCCCCCTGCTACGTGGGTGATGGTATGGTGGAAGCACACAGATCACCCCTTCTGACCACATGGGCTCATGGGCTTCATGCAGACCCCTGAGTGCTCTTCCACTGTATGGCAACAGGAGAAGCAGCTGGAAGGTCCCATGAGACTCATGTCAATCACATATGGCCCATGGGCTGTCAGTTGTATAGCGCTGACTTAGAGAAATTTCAAAAGAAATTAACTTTTCTCTAACTCATCCTCTAGAAAACCGGCTTAAAAAATTACCTTGCACATCACTGAAACATAGCTAGATAAACTGTGATTCAGTAAAAATAAAAGCACTACTTCTGCAGATGAACGAAGATGATAATATTTTTTGGCAAAAGATACTGTAAATATATTTACTTCCAGTAAATACTTAATAGGCATGCTGGAAAGTGAAATCGCATAGCACTAAGAATTCAAAAAGGCATTTGAGTAGTTAACAACTATAATAACCAATCTACCAGTTTTAAAATAACATATAACTCTTCTGTCAGAGCTTCACAGAAACTAGCCATAAATAGTATGTTAGAAATTGTTATTTACATTGTGACAATGAGAGTATTACTCCTCTTTTCTAGAAGTAGTTGAACAAACTTCCAATATTATTTTCAGTTGTAATCACTATTTTGCTTACCTTACGTGGCTGAAAATCGTATTTCACACAGTGCTGAAAACCTTTGCCTTTTGACTTCAACGATGTAACTATTAAGCAGTTGCCAACAAAATGAGCAGAGTACCCAACACCTTTGCTAGTACGGAAACTGCAGGGAGGAAAAACTGGTATTAGTGACAATACTATTTTCAAACCCTCTGGTAAAAAGGAACCTTGAGCACAACCTTCATTAAGTATTTACAAGCAGAACAACAACTAAACCTCTGAAGCAAGAAAAAAACATTTTTCTCTCTTTGCAGATAGTTATTAGCAGATGTGATTAGCAAAAATAGTTCAAATACATCTACACACATTAACATAGATTAGCAGCCAGAAATCTTTAACAAGCTACAGGCCGGAACAAACCAGCTCTGGTTTGGTGCAGGCAGGGTGGCTTCACTAGCATGTCAAGAGTGGGGGTTTTGCTTGTGCCTGCACCTGCACCAAGTTTGGATAGCTGGGAATTGCATCCGCACTGCTACCACTTCTCCCAGGTCCCCTGGTTACAACACATGCATAGCTTCTAGCCAGTGGAGAAGCAAGTCTTCACTGCTGCCACTTCTCTCACTGTCCCCCAACTCCCACCTGTGACATAGCCCCCTATCAGCTAGAAACTGTGCCTGCACTGCAGCCAAGGAGCAGGGGTCCAGGGAAGGTGACGCAGGTGCAGCTTCCAGCTGCCCAGCCCTAGCATGGGTGTGGAAATAAGTAAAGCATTCTGGCTCCACAAGCAAGAACCAATTAGATCCCTAATTCCTGCTGATTTCCAAAGGAGTCAGGCACAAAAGCATTTCTGAATATTCTGCCTATCCACATCTTTGGTAACTTAATACCTTTAAAATTCTGGATTTAAATGACCTTCCCAGTCTTACACATAAATGGTAAGTCTACACTGAAGTCTCCAAATCCCTGTTCAATTACACAATATCATACATCTAGGTAAAAAAAAACTGGTCTTCTTAAATATGGATTAGGAACCTAATTTAACATAAACAAAAGTGACCTGACAAACTGTCCTTTGTAGTTTAGCTTGTATCTACACATCCCTTAACTGCCTACTCTGACTCCATATACTTTATTTGCTGCCTCATTCTTGCATATTGCAATCTTTATGAATTTACATACACAGAAACCTGATAACTCTCTGACTTTTCTTTTCATTATAGGTGACAGGGTGAACAAGCAGAACCTAAATCTTTCCTTTCCTCCTACTTCAGCTATATCTTCCAGTCTTTATCTCCATATAAGTTCTGATTTCTCTCACCCCCTACATCATTCCAGACCCTCTACATCTCTTCTAGTCCCTTCCCTCCCCCTCTGCTTTCAGGAATACACCGAATCCCCCTGTCCTAAAAAGCCTTCTCTAACCATTGTATGCTATTACATCTATCAACCCTTTATATTTCATTCTTTTAGATGCAGGTTACTGTACAATGCTGCTGCCTAGACTTCATGCCCTGAATCTTAAAATTAATAATACAAAAATGACAGTGCTTTTTAATCACTTCCATCTACATTCTCGTTTTTTCTCTCTACTCTTAAATGTCAGGAATTCTTCCTCTTTGTAGAATATTTATCAGTGTCCCAATGGATTTTGTCCTTGGTCCTCCTCTCCCTCTACAGGCTATTAATAGAGGAACAATAGGTGCCAAGGCTCACACATGCAACTGTGACAACCACCAACCATAGACTGATCTCAGTGAAAAACTCTCCCCCTCTCATTCAGATTCTTTTCTGCCTTTCTTCTTGACCAGTGGCTCCACTCATTCTCCCATACATCCTTGATAACAAATAATTTCCCTCATAACTTATTATAAATTTAAGGTTTAGTCACCTTTACTGTGCACAGTTAAATGGGCCCAGGCTGACTCACACAACTAATAAAATCACTGCATTCAAGCAAACTGTAGAAGAAGTGTGACTGATGGAGCATACATCTAATGTTAAAATAGCTTCAGTTAACTGTCAGTGGAGCTGTTCATCTGACTCAGTTATCTGCAGTATGAACCACAACTACTTGACAAATTATCATCTAATTTCCTCATAAATAACCTAAGCACCAGATTAAAAATAACTAAGTGGAAGATTTGGATGTAAATCTGCTAGAATATAGAAACACAAATAACTAACTTTGGGCCTAAAGGCAGTGAGGTCTTATCCTGCATTAACACTCAATGAAAAAGTAAGCCATCATGAGCTACCATACACATATAATGGGGTAAAAGTATACACAGAGCAATGGACATATGCCCCCTTATCTCATGACAAGTTGCCCATATGTCAACACCTTTAGTCTGTTACCAAGATGATTTGGAACAAAAATTCTTGACATTTCTTAAGGAATCCAGTTTAAAATTAAATCAACTGATTTATTTTTAAATTTTCAGAAAACGTATTTCAGACTCAGTAAGAACTGAAGTTTATGGCTGATTCATTTTCCACAAATGGCAAATTTTCACCTTGATTAGAGATAGTAGCAGCATGTCCACATTTACAATTTAGTTGCTTTCATCCTAAGTCTAAGTCTATTGGGCACTAAGGGGCCTGATAGAGGGGGGGGGGGGGGGGGGGGACTGCATTTAAGAGCACCCATTGGGAGTCTTAAATGTCTCTATACTAATTCTAGGAGCATGGGGAAGAAGCAGGAGCAACTTGCACTCCTGTTTGCGGGCAACAATTTTGACCTGGTTATGCTAACTGAAACCTGGTGGCACCCTATTCATGACTGGGTGGTAGGCGTTGAAAGATATAGGACGCACAGACAGGATAGAGTGGGGAAAAGAGGTGGGGGGAGGGTGTTGCTCTCTATGTTAAGGAGCAATATGCATCTTCTATAATCAAGATGGGATCAAAAGAGGGCCAAACTGAGGTACTGTGGGTTAGGATACAAGGGGGTAGAGAAGAAAGGGATTTGGTAGTGTGGGTCTACTATAGATCACCACACCAGGAGGATGAGCTTGACCTGGAATTCTCCAGGCAGCTCTCAGAAGTTGTATTGTCAAGAGATACAGTTGTCATGGGTGACTTAATCTACCCTGACATCTGCTGGGAGGATCGGTCACCCAGAACTAATCCCTCACACAGGTTCTTAACCTGCAACCAGGACCTCCACCTAATGCAGGAGGTATACGATCCCACTAGGGGAAACGCCTTGCTGGACTGCGTACTGGCTGTGGGGGACGACCTGGTGGGGGATTTGCAGGTACAAGGCAACCTAGGGGATAGTGACCATCAAGTGATTCAATTCACTGTCTGGTGGTACTGGACTTGGTGCTGGCTACAGGGGATGACCTGGTGGGGGATTTGCAGGTACAAGGCAACCTAGGGGATAGTGACCATCAAGTGATTCAATTCACTGTCTGGTGAAGGGTGGGAAAAGTAACCAGCAGGACTGAAGTGTTAGACTTCAGAAAGGCTGACTTCAGTGTGCTTAGGAGATTAGTTAGTGGGGCATTAAAGCTCAAGAGCATTGACAAAATGGGGTCCAGGAAGGGTGGTCATTCCTCAAGGAAGCGATCATTCAGGCACAGAAGGAGGCAATCCCACTCCATAGAAAAGGGGGCAAAGGGGTCAAGAAACCGTCCTGACTAAACTGGGAAATCCAGGAAAGCCTAAGGGCAAAAAATGAGCCTGCAGACTGTGGAAGCAGGGGATAGCTAACAAGGAGGAGTATACCTCTTTGGCTTGCACTTGCAGGGAATCAGGAAAGCCAAAGCAGCATTAGAACTCAGGCTAGCAACAAAAAGTAAGGACAACAAGTCCTTTTTCAGGTATAAGGACAACAAAAAGCCCTCTTTACGGAGCAAAAAGAAGACACAGGGCAGCATAGGACCCCTACAGGATAAACAAGGACAGTTGGTAACAGATAGGAAGGACAAAGCAGAGCTCTTCAATGAGTTCTTTGCCTCTATATTCTTGAACTTGGATTTTGACAAATCTCCCAAATGCGTTACTGACAGAAGCAGGAGAAACAACAGCCCACCAACTGTCAACGCTGACCTAGTTAAAAAACGCTTGGAGGGACTGGATGCATTTAAATCAGCAGGACCGGATGAGTTCCATCCAAGGGTGCTGAAAGAATTAGCAAGTGTCATAAGAATGCCACTGGCACGTCTGTTTGAGCACTCATGGTACCCAGGTGAAGTCCCAGAGGGCTAGAAAAGGGCCAATGTGGTCCCTATTTTCAAGAAGGGGAGGTAGGAGGATCTGGGTAACTATAGGCTGGGTAGTCTCACCTCTATCCTTGGGAAAATCCTTGAAAAAATTATCAAGGATTACATCTGTAGGAATCCAGCAGGTAATATTATGCTGACGGGCAACCAGCACGGGTTCATAGCAGATCAACCCTGTCTGACTAACCTTGTTTCTTTCTATGACCAGGTTACTAAGAGCTTAGATGCAGGAGTCAAGGTAGATGTCATCTACTTGGACTTTAAGAAGGCCTTCAACACGATATCCTATCCAATTCTTATAAACAAATTGAAAAGCTGTGCCATAAATGACTACACAGTCATGTGGGTGGCAAATTGGCTTAAGGGTCGTACCCAGAGAGTGGTGGTGGATGGGGCGGGATTGGCCCTGAAAGTGGGGTCCCCCAAGGCTCAGTCCTTGGGTTGGTACTGTTCAACATCTTCATCAGCGACCTGGATGAGGGTGTGGAAAGCACTCTGTCCATATTTGCAGATGACACAAAACTATGGGGCAAAACAAACACTGATGGGAAGAAACTGAATCCAGGCAGACCTGGACAGGTTAGAAAAGTGAGCAGAGAACAATAGGATGCAATTCAACAAGGACAAGTGCAAGGTGCTGCACCTAGGGAGAGGGAATCACCAGCACACCTATAGGCTGGGGGATGACCTTCTCAGCAGCACAGTGGCAGAAAGAGATCTCGGAGTCATTGTCGACTCCAAGAGGAACATGAGTTGTCAATTTGATGAAGTAATTAGCAGAGCTAACTACACTTTGTCATGCATTAGTAGGTGTATCATGAACAAGTCCAGGGAAGTGATGCTCCCCTTCTATGTGGCACTGGTCAGACCGCAGCTAGAGTACTTAGTCTAATTCTAGGTGCCACAATTCAAAAAGGATGTGGACAACCTTCAGAGG